TCTAGAAACATCCGTAGCCCTAGTATTATTCTGACCAAGGACACAGATAATACGATAAGGATATCATAGTATTAAACGACCCTGTCGAAAGGTAGTGATTGATCTCACTTGTCAAGGTTGTTTGCCGACAACCTAGTGCAACGCATGGGTGCTTGCTAGAGGTAAGTTCACTGGACAGACCCACCAGAGGATTCCATATGGATGGTAACCCGAGTGTCTATGGAATAAATCCTCTAACGGATGGTGGTGCATGTGATCCTTAGACTTGAGATCACCGAAGCGTCTTGTGCACCGATTGGTGTAGTTTGACACTAGCCCAACGCAGTTATATTCAGAGTTGTCAATACGGTAGTGATTGGCTGCATCAATGAGTGTATCAAGACTATAGTGGATCGACAGAGGATTCATCACTCTCGGGTACGGGAGAAGTTATCTCACGGCGTAATTCAGTGAATGACAATGACACTAAAACTGTGGCCACAGTGGGATTGAGTTGTTGCTTAATCCAATTTATTATTCCTGTCATTGGTCCAATAATTGAATACATAGATATCGAGGATAACTGAGGTTGACACTATTTATGTACCTCAATCTCGAGGAGATAACCGATGATGAAAAGATTGGATTGCACAGTAACCATATCATTGACAGGTAGTTGTTTCGCTGAATCCGAATCTATCGGGTGGCCATGATGCCTTGCTAGGGGCCAATCTTGGTATGTGAGTAGTGAGACGATTAATTGGTGTTAATCGCAATACTACTCACTGCCGATATGATAAGGAGCCTACGGGTCACACACTTAGAAGATAATTTAATAATCGTTTTTGTGAAAGGGGTATTTTCGTCTTTTAGGACGAAATGGTATTTTGGTAATCTCATAGTGTAATTAAATTTGCTGAGGTTGTTGCATGTATTTAATTTTAATATTAAAATTAAAAGTAGTGAGATTATATTTAAATATATGTGCGCATATATTTAAATAGATTATTATTAATAATTAAATGTTAATATATATATTATATATATTAATTGATTTTAATTATATTAATAATCAATTAAATTAAAATACCATAAAGGGTGTGTTTGGTTGCAAGGATGGATTAACTTAAGAGTCCATGGCTATTCCTATTGGAATTAGGGTTTTCAATTAAGTGACACTATATAAGTGAAACTTAATTAAAACATAAAATATTTAAATTTTTCATTCATTCATTGAAAAGAAAACCCTAGCCACCTTTTCTTCTCTCTCTCACATTTTTCATACTGAGTGAATCAAAGTTTTTGATTCACTTGATTCTTGAAGCCTTCTATTAGTTCTAGCAAAACTATAGTAGGTTCTACGGATTATCTTCGTATGGACGACGTTCGTGCGATTCTCTTCTTGAATAGACAAGCGAAATCAAAGTATTGATAGATCCTCCAAATGTTGGTAATGTGTTCTTAATCCCTGTATGGATTATTTACTATGATTTATATTGTACAGATTTTCTGTTTATTAACATGTAAGCAATTTGATCTATACCCGGATCTTGGCGTAGAAAGTGATTGATTTTTTTTTTAATTTGTGATTTTTCCGCTGCCTTTTCGAGATCAATCACTTACATCCTTGATATCTTGGTATTCAGTTATTGGACCAACGACCGGAATAGATTGGATTGAGCTACAACTCAATCCCACTGTGGCCACAGATTTAATGTCGTTGCCATCTACCGAATTACTCAATAAGATAATTTCTCCTGTACCCGGCAGTGATGAATCCTCTGTCGATCTACCATAATCTCGATACAATTTTCAATACAAGCCAACCACTACTGTTCTAATAGTCCTGAATAAAACTACGTTGAGCTAGTGTCAAACTACAATTGGTGCACAAGGCGCTCCGATGATCTCAAGTCTAAGGATCACATGCACCACCATTCGTTGGAGGATTTGTTCCATAGACACTAGGGTAACCATCTATGTGGAATCCTCCAGTGGGTCAGTCCGATGAATTTGCCTACAACAAGCACCCATGTGTTGCACCAGGTTGTCACTAAACAACCTTGATAAGTGAGATATGTCACTACATCTTGACAAGGTCATCCAACACTATGATAGTCTTACTGTATTATCTGTGCCCTAGGTCAGGATAATACTGGGGCTATGGACGTTTCCAGAATGGCCACCATATGTGCTCATAAGATTCTATTTATCGAGATTTCAAACACTTGATACCCTCGTCATGGCTCTACCATCCTAAGGACATATATCATTGTCTTATATGAATATAATCAGATCATATGATATAGATAGATGTCTTTATTGATAGTAAAACATGATTACAAAGAGTCAATTTACAAAATAGGATTGGCTCTAGTGCACCTACTCTAACACATCATTCACTGGATAAACTTTTGATATAGCGTAAGAGTCATATCCTTGTTTCAAGCCATCTTTTGACAACCTAATTTTGAAAACAAAACTCTTTCCACAAAGTGCATTTAAAACATTTGGAACTGTTTTACGGTTGTTCTCTTGGGTTTTCAGTAGTTGGGAACATGACAACCCAATTAATGTATGGCATACTATATCAAACAGTATAGAAGTTGTTTCAACATTGCCGTTTGTGACTTGCAAATCAACCTTGTACCTGTTATATCAACAATTATTCATTAATAAACATCAATTGTTAAGGTTACCATGCATTAGTTTATACCAACAATTCAATTTAAAATAACAACTGATATACCTCATCTGTGGGAATTGCGTCTCTTTGTTGCATTTAACACAGTATAAATTGCTGCTGTTCACATCAGGGATTTTTTTCTTGCAAGTATTATAAGATAAATAACACCAACCAAATCTACTATCAATTCCAAGTATTGTCGCCTTTATTGTATAATCTGTTATCCAATCCCAGTTATGCCACATAAGACCGGTAAGATTGTTCAAAGATACTCTATTCTAAAACATTTCCTTCTCAACTGATACTTCATTCAGCTTTCTCTTTTGCAATTTAACTACTAGAATATGTTCGTTACTACACATTGTATAGTAAATAAGATATAAATCATACAATTATTTAATAATATATTTCAACATACGGTTGCTAAGATACGTACTTTCTTTGCAGAAGATACAACTCCTCAATTTCCAAATTTATACAGATTTTTTATGCAGAAGTACTATTAAGATATAGCTTTCCTATACATAAAAATTCAAAAATTAATTATCAAAAGATTTTCTAATCTAATATAAAAAAATTAAAATACCTTGAAAATCTTTAACATTTGTCGACATGACAATTATGACAGCTGGTTTGTCATTCTCCATTTGAAACTTTCATGAATCTCTTTAGAAATATTTCCATAAAGAGACTGTAAATGTTTCACTACAAATAATATTGAAGTAAGATATTTCGATTGTATCAAGTGATTAAGATATTCGTAGAAGAACTTACTATTCAATTTGTAGTATTATATCCCATTTATCACTCTTCATTGATATGATTTTTTTAGTTTCTCCTATTCCACTCAAAACACCTATGACATATGCAAAACATTTGTTATATTAAGAATTAGAGTAATTAGTATAGATGTACAACATGGATAAATAAAAAGAAGTTTACCTAATAACAAAGTAGTGTCGTTTGATCTATTTTGAAGATCATGAATACTTGCAAATTGGAATTTAAACTTTGGAATGGCAATTGTTGCCTCTTTGATCTCCTCAACAAAAGTTATCATGAGAAATTGTAAGAAGTAAGGACCTTCAACAGGTTTGTAAATAGCAGAACATGGTATGACTTTGACATTTTCAACCAAATATATAAGACCTTCACGAATTTGGTTCTTATATTTTACAACTCTATTCTTTGGTATAGCTCCATGAATCAAATTATGTTGTAGAATAATTGGAAATAAAATAGGTTATTAAACTTGTACAATTTCAATTCCAGTAAAGTTTATATTGTTCTAGAAATATATCTTATACCTGTTTGTCAATCAAAACCATATCAAGGCGAATCAACTCATTATCCTTTCTGAAATTTAAACATACCCACAATCTAGATACTCTAACAATCAGTAGCCAATCATCTCGCGATTGGTTAATATCTTTAAACAAAATATTCGACACTACCATAACTTGCCTGCAAAGATAATAATCAACATTATAAAGTTTTATGTAAAAAATGATCTTTTATTCGTAAATGCATTGTGTCAAACAATATACAACACACTTAAACATGTGCCGGAAAAGCAGGGGCAAATATCAAATTTCAGATAAAAAATATATAAGGTGAATAAAATATTGTTCGGCAACTTGGTTACAACTGCAAAAATAATAATCAACAATATAAAGTTCTATGTAAAAATCGATCTATTATTCGCAAATGCGTTGTGTCAAACAATATACAATACACTTAAACATGTGCCAAAAAACAGTGGTAAATATCAAATTTCAAATAAAAAAATATATAAAGTGAATAAAATATTGTTCAACAACTCGATTGCAACAATTATCATGAACAAAACAACAAAAAACTTTTAATAAACCCATTACTTGCCTGCAAAAATAATAATCAACAGTATAAAGTTCTATGTAAAAAATGATTTATTTTTTGCAAATGCATTGTGTCAAACAATTTTTTGTCAAACATTACTTCCCTTTTTATTAATTTTTTTTATCACTATTTTTTACTTCAATAAAACAATTTTTGATGAAATCAAAGTAGTAGCAAAACATTCTCTACTTGTTATCAGTCAGAAATCTAGAGTTTGATCTATTTTTAGATTTTGAATGTAAATAAATGGAGAAAATAATCAAAATATAAATAAAATTTATAGTAATGTGAAATAAAATTTCCTCATGTAAAGATGGTAGGAGATCAAATAAAACAGTCTCTTATCTATTTACTTTTTTTACTTATGAAATGTATATCATCTTCAAAATTCTAAAAAACCAATATGGAAACATTAATTAATTTATCCAACTTCTTTTTAAAACAAGCAAAATAAAATATCTAAAAATTAGAGTTAATCTTAATCTAATGGAAGCTGGGAATTATCTTTTGAGAGCCCTGAAACCTTCCCATTTCAGTCTCTCTAACTCCCTACGTTTTTCTTCTGGTCACTCTCTCTTATACTCTTAACTTTGTCGTTGTTTGATAGTTGAATTGATTTAATTTTTAGCATATGGGTGGGGTTTTTCAAGGTTTTGATTGTGTATTTGTATTGTAATAGGAGGAAGATCGGTTGAAAGAGCTTATGATGCATTGCTGTTGGATGCTGGAGGTACCCTTTTGCAATTGGCAAAGCCTGTCGCAGACCTTTATTCTTCAATTGGTAGAAAATACGGTTAGTTTAAGGTTCCAATTGTTAAGGTCTTTATATGATATATTAGTATTTTAAAGCTTGATGATTCAGTGTAGATCACATTTGATATGGTGGAGTTTATCGTCTCTTTTGTGAATTTTACTCTAATATGACTGGGTTAAACCATGATAGTGTTCTGTTTTTGTAAAGTTTAATTTATGGTCTGGGTAATTATTATTACTAAATGTTTCAGAAATCACTCAGGTCTGACTGCCACTTCAGCCGAAATAAAGAAGGGATTTAAGAGAGCTTTTGCTGCTCCGTGGCCTGAGAAACTCCGTTACCAGGTCAAATATGTTTCTTTGAGAATTTTTTTTCATATTTTGAAATGTAGTAGTTTTGATTTGTTCTGGTTTATGATACAATTGTAAGCTGTTGTCTTTTATACTTTTAATATGTTTATTTTGTGATCCTTCATTATGCTTAGCATAGCATCATTTAGTTTCTGATCAAGCACTTTGGTTGTGTTCTTGTGGCTTGCTAAAAAAAATTGTTCAAGCAAATCAATAAATTATGCTTTTGTGATTGCCACAAGAGAAATTCATTTCAAAGACAATGTAATGGGATAAGTGTCATCATGGAATAGTCATTTTGCTCTATTGAAGCGGAAAGAAATGATCTTCAATGTGCTCAGAGTTTCAATAACTTTCAATTGACTACATTGTATTTATACTAAACAAAATCTTGGAAAGGGAGGACCTTCATGTATCTGTATTACTGCAATTATGATGAAAACTATTGAAACATTAAGATGAATGAGTAATAACATTATATGACACAATAGAAACATTGCACCTAAAATTTTCATGAAAAAGAGCCAACAAAGGGCGCTGCTGCTTCTTCTTTGTTGGCAGCTAAAACTTGTGCAACTGATTATATCTTTAAAATCCTAATCAAAATAGTATCGAGCTAGTTTTTTCAGTAAAACTAGTGAAATTTGTTTTAGCTTGTTATTCTCTTAATCTTGTAAAGTCAGGAACATTTAATGACTTGTTGGTGCTAGTGTATAGTAACATGCATTTTATAGCAATGAATATTGCTGTGGTGACGGAGGAATAGATTTCTTTTTGTCATCTGCTGATTACTTAATATAAATGCTTTACCAGCTATTTCAAAATACATATTTCAGTAGTACTTCAGAAGTTTGAACTGAATCCTGTGTAATCTTTATATCACATGTATTGTTATTAGGGTGACGGAAGGCCATTTTGGAGACTTGTTGTTTCTGAAGCAACTGGTTGTGCCAACAATGATTATTTTGAAGAAGTCTATGAGGTGATATTTTGTATAAGACTATGTAAAATTAAGTTAGCAGTTGATGTAATGTTGACACCATCATCTGAATTCCTATTTGCTTCCTTATTCAGTATTATGCAAAAGCTGAAGCATGGCATCTTCCAGATGGAGCTTACCAGACAATTTTCCTCCTCAAAGAATCTGGAGGTAATATAAATTAAGAATTCTCTCTCTTTGTTCTTCACTGCAAACAATTCTCAAACCAGTTTTCTGACTCCTAGCTTTTTTGTTATTTGTGAACAGTTAAGGTGGCTGTTGTGTCCAATTTTGACACCCGGCTAAGGAAGCTACTGAAAGACCTCAATGTTATAGATCTGTAAGCATCAGTTCTATACAGCCGTTTTCAGTCACTTAGTTTCAAGTATTCAGCCAGTTAATGCACTTAATCAAGTTAACCACAAAACTTCATCTATTTTTCTAAAATTCTTTTCACATCTTTTTTGCATGATATGTAGGAATAATTATGCTTTTCCTCTATTCTTTGATACATGATGTGGATGAGGGTATTCTATTGTGCACAGAAAAACAAATTGAAATTTTTGGTTCTTATGTCACCTTTTTGCCCCTTTAATTGAGACATATAAGTCCAAAAGGTCACTTATTCTCAAGTTAGCCTTTTTAATATGAAATTTGTTGTAGTTTGCTCATGTGGTCAACAAAATTATAAGGCAGCTAAAAATGCTTTTATGTCCTAAGATTTATGGAATTGTTTTGGTTTGCTTTTCAGATTTGATGCCATAGTTATATCTTCAGAGGTTGGATATGAAAAACCAGATCCAAGGATATTTCAAGCTGCTTTAGGTATATATCGTAACACCAAGTTCAAAAATTTAGGTTTATTGTTTTGTGGTCTTAAATTTCCAGTTCATCTGCTCTGTTGGAAAAATTGACACCAAGTTCATCATTTGTTTCTTACATACTGCTAATATCTGTATGTGGTTTGAATAACACAATAAACTTGCTTCCTCTAGTTATTTAGTTGAGCTTTCCATCTGACATGAACAGCTTCATTATGTTATTCCTGAAGTTCAGAGGTACACACTGATGATCGTCAAAGTAAATCAGATCTCCGTGTCTAACTGTATATATCTATATCAGTTTCCGGTTATGTTGGAATGTCAGCATTCAATTGTTGAATTTCATGATTGATGATGACTGTAATTTTTCTTGGAATTGTCTAGTTTAATTGTATGGAGCACATGCATCTAAGCGTGCCTTTCAATGATATATCTGTATTAGATGGTTTATTTCTTTTTGTTTATTTCCTTCTGCCATAAAATTAATGGTTGAACCGGAAAGAAATTTGCATCAATGCCCTAAAATGTTCTTTTTTGAATTAATTATGCATTGAAACGACCCTCACATGTTAGGCATTTTCTTAGATGAAATGAGTATAGATGCTAGCAAGGCTATTCATATTGGAGATGATGAAAAAGCAGATAAGGAGGGGGCGAATGTTGTTGGGATTGATTGCTGGTCAGTATACTTTCTTGCAAACACCTCTGTATATGTAAACTTTTTAATGTATTTATTTATTGCCTAGCTTGTTACATCCGTCACCATTGTATCTCTAAGAGAAATGTTCATTCTAAATTCAAGAGCCGTATATTGCAACTGAGAACTGCATACTTCCTTCCGTTATGAGTCAAAAGACATAACCATATACTACTTTGCAGTTGAATCAAATGCATTAACTGTCAGAATCTAATGTCTTTAAAACATTTGGAATAATCTTACTGTTAATCTGAATAAGCAGGTTGTGGGGAACAGATGTGAAGACATTTTCAGATATACAAAACCGCATCATCATCTCAGAATCATAAGTGCCAGAAGATTGTCAGTCATCCTTGATACCTCCTCCTTTGTAGTACTTCAATGTAGTCAGATATTGGATTAGGTTTGATAAAATAAATAAATAAATAACCAGAAACCTCCTATATGATTGACATATGTTAATGGGGATTCTTTCCGATGTATGCCTGTTTGAAGATTATAAATTGCTATTGGATCAGTGGATTTGTTTTATTTTATTTTAAATTGACAAAGAATGGGCTGAGCTGCGCCAGTTGATGTACTATAATTTTGTTCTGATATCTTGGACAATGAATGACTGAATAAAGAGCTAAAAGATAATTCATCAGGTACCATGTCAGTAGCCAGTAAAAATCAAAAAAGTTGCATCTCCAAATGGGTGTGCAGTAATGCAGCTTAGTGATGTGTTGCTTTGAACAAACAAAATGGACAGCAACAATTCACACCTCTGCCAATATCAAATTTCTGGTTGATGGGTTCTCAATCAGATTTAGCATTATTGATTCATCTGACAATCAAAAATCTGCCTGGTACTGTGAACCGCAACGATTATTGGTTCTATTATTGGATTTTGCAATCTTATACAACGTCCACAACCATTTTAGAGCTTGTTTTCAAAATTATGCAACCCATTTTCACCTTCTAACAACGCAACAGGACTCATTCTATTCCCAGTTTTTGTAAGACTATTTCGTTTTGGAGTGGTATAACGGAAATGGCAGACAAGAAGACCAGTTTCACCGTCTTAACAGTTAACATTAACTTTGACACAGCATATTTGGCCTCCAAGGCAGGTGTAACTTTAAAAACAACAGAAAAATAGCTAATAAAGCCCCATCTTTTTCCTAAAACAGAGAAGACCTGACATGTGACTCTTCAACCTTTCAGTGTCCATGATAACAACCTTCCACGAAAAAGATTTGGCATACCAATAACTTTCATGAAGTTCCCTGAATGCAGATAATTGTGGCGGTCTATGCTCTGGTAGCTAGTAATGTCTTCCTTTCAAAACTGCAAAAGAATCTCGTCATTTGTTGCATATTAGCATCCAGATATTGTCTTCCAGGTTTCTGTCCGCTTAACCTGTCATTATTATAAATCGAGGATTCCATGCATAAATCACCCCTTCTATATCTACATCTATGGACTATGGCTGATCACACTAGTCTATTTAAGATCAACAGCATAAATTCACCTTTTTCTAATGAATATTTGTGTATAAACAAGTACAACTTTGAAATCCATGCTAAATAAAACTTATGGCAGAGATGAAAAATACAAGTCAAACATGAATCAAGTCACTGCTTTGCTAACGCACCTCCAAATCAACAACCTAAAAAAGACAACTTACAGATTTAACAGTGAAGATACTTCTAGGCCTAAAGAAGAAATTTTCTTCTAAAAAGGAAAAGAGTTTGTTTAATTTAAGATACCACTGGCATGATATTCTCAAAATTATTAGTTTAGCAATGGTTGCATATCAATTAACCAAAAAATTATACAACAGTGTAATCAAAAGGATAAAAAAAAGCAGAAACATAAACGGATATTCATTAAAATCAAATGGAGCTTGCAGAAGTCGCAAACCAATTTTCAACTTACCCACTAAGGTACAATTTGTCAATGCTAGACTTCCCTCAAGGAAAAAGTAATCTGCTAATTGCCATTTTTTAGGCAAGATACCGATACAATTTTCTGTCCACATTATCTCTCTCCAAGAAATCCCTTTCAATTAGGGACTCAATTCGTTTCTTAATCTCTGTGGGGTTCGCCAGGAACCGTGATTGCAACTGCTTTGTGACCTCTGTGATTATGTTGTTATGATCAAGAACCCTCCTTGATTTCATCACCCTAACTATAGCGGCTTCAATCTGTGGCTTTCTGTCCTCCTCTACTCTCTGCCGGGTTTCCTGTTTCTCAGGTTCCGATTCTTTTTGTGCAACCACAGTTCCTATCTTTACCTTATAGAATTTGCTTGAGAACTTATCATTGACAAAAATTGCATCATCCTCACCAATGTCCTTACTCATAGGCTCTTTCCTAAGAACGTTCTTGCCCTTCACACAAGCCATAGATTGGAGACACCTCTTCAAGTCTGAAGCAGGAATCTCTGTGGCCTGCTCAATTTCCTTGTAGCTAAGTCGATCAGCATTGTTAAACAACATGAGAACACACATTTGGTACGTTGAGACATTCAGCTCATGCTTCTGACCCTTCCCAAATATTGCTTTTATATCTGCTGTGCCCATGTTCGTTTGCCAGGACAGTCTCCTTCCAGTATGGGTTCCAAGGTAATATGACCTAAATTTCTCACACAATGCTGACATTTCAGCTGGCAGATTGCAAGTAACACTGGGTTGGGTGGGCCAAGATCCTGTTGTCAAAACCTGGACAACCAGTGTGCGGCTATCCCCTAGCTCAGGGTGGCTTGCATAAAACCCTTGCATTGTGTCTTGGGAGGTCTTCATGTCTGTAAACATACCTTCTAATTTGGAAGTAAATTGGTACCCACATTCTGTCTTAAGCTTGACTATCAGACTTCTCTCTGCATCATCAGAGACAGTTTTTCCCGACAAAAGTCGCTTAGCTAAATGTTGTTTGTAGTACTTTTCAAATACATCTTTTTCCTGTAAGTACCGGAATAGCATCATTACTTTGTCAAGAATGGTCTCCACATCCTCCTCACTAACCCCCTTCAGACCTTTACGAAGTTTGTCATCCACAAACAATGAGATGAACTCAGGAGAACGAGGGTTCAGATTAATGAAATATTCAAATGAGGAATTCAAAGCATTTTGGAACGTCTTATCATTGTTAAATGCTGCATTGATAATGTTATCATACTTATCTTTTTCATCCAACAACCTCTGCACAAATTCAACAGGATCCTTTAATCTTTCTGGATCAGTAACTAGCTGTTTACCAGTTTCCCTGAGGTGAGAAGTCATCACTTCCCGTATTGATGAGAGACCATTAGGAACCCTACGAAACAAATTGTACATTCTTCCCAAGTCCTCATATTTATCATCAAGGAGCATATTTACCAAGCCTGAGTTCTCCATGTGTACTAGTCTCAGCATGTGGTTTGCAATCATCTCCTTCTCCACCACATTCGTTATCTTCGTCTCACTCTTGGCATCCAAGTAGTGGGTCACTCTCTCCATTTCTTCATTTAGACGTCTCTCTGCCTTTTTCAGGTATTCCCCACAATCGCAGCACTCGATGAACTTCTGAGATTCAACCTTATAAAACTCAGCAGAAACCTCAAGAAATGGCTTCTCAAAATCTTCTTGGTAAACAGAAGAACCTAAGTCCATTAGCATCTTAATTATATTCCTCATTAGCCCCCTGTTTATGACTTCACCAGTTCTTTCTAAATGCACTAGCTCAAGAAGTGTATTCAAAAGCCTTGTCTGAATTTTGTTTGAGTGTATAATGTTATCCCTCCAAAGGTTCAAGCCAAGCTCATGAACGGGGGTTTTATGGGTACTTGGAATATAAGTCCTGTCCATGTACATCAATATATCTCGAATCATTTGCAATGCTTTATTATGATCATTCCATTTCCTGTTCAGCTCTTCCAGAAACAAACCTCCCTGGGCAGCCTCAATGGATTTTGATATTTCTTTGAGATGCAAGGTCATAGTCATAACAAGTCCTGAATACAGCTTCTCACCAAATTTGTGCAGCACCATATTGTAGGCATTTCTGGATTAAAGTTAATAAATAACATTAGCAACAGGTAGACATTATAACAATGCAACATCGCGGCTTAAATCTTGACTTCAATTTGCTCATGCAGAAACATGAGTACAAAAAAGGACAATATTGAGATTATAAAAATCTGATTGCGATAAAAAATACAAACATTCAAAATTATCTTTGGATACTTGCAGGGACAAAAGAAGAGTATAAATCTTGAAAAACAAATAAGACTATAAGAAGTTATATACAGAAATAAATTAGTGAATTGTATGCCTTTCCTGTTTCTTATTTCTAGTACCCCTTCCAGTTTGATATCAAAATTAAGAGTTAAAAGAAGAGAAGATGATAATACAGTGAAGTAATTCCCAATCTCTTTCAAACATGTACATATTCACTAGGGCACCTAACAAGCATGATATTGATGTCCTCACTCATTGATGATGCATTATCACATTAAGGCTGTTGTGATGGGAGCACAACATTTCTCAAAAATAAATTCAATTAAATTCCATTCCACGACTATGTTGGCTTTAATTTTACAGCCACGGCCAAGAATCCTATTGTCTGACAAAGAGTTAGGGGCAAACAACATGAGGTACCACCAACCGTTAAAACCTATACCAAAAATGAAATGAAATAAAATATATTTCTGGAAAGCCTTTAAGTCATCACTAGAACTTCAGGCATTAGCAATTTACATACCAACCAAACAAAGAAAATGGTATGACTTAATGTACTTTCAGCATAACAATAATGCTCCAACTTGCAAACAAGTCATGTCATCATCTTGACTATCTAATCATATAATACGATTTTTTTTTTTTTTTTTCATTTTTTAAACCAATACAGTTAAGAATGTTAATGAATACAGATATCTTCCACTATCCACCATTTGCTTGCTTAAGATATTGTCTCTCGTCTCTGTATCATCTAATCAATGGAAAATGATAGTGAATCAGTGCCTTGATTGACAATTGCTAACCACACACCATTTACAGCTCTGTTAAAACACAGGATGATCTCAAAAATGTCAGCCATCATAACAGCATGTCTAAAGAACCAAAACAAACCTCACTTAACTTTTACCACATTGACAAACAAATTTCAAACAGTTCATAAGAGACATATATCAGATTATAGATAATGAAAAAGCTCAGAATCTATCAGCATATCAGCATAAACAAAGCTTCTCACCTACCAAGTTATGCAATACCCACATAAGAAAAATTAGTACATAAGCACCCTTATTTGGCTCGAATCAAAATGTCTAACAACTAGCAGCACTGACAATTTCCAACAATAATACCATCATATATGCTGTGTAGTGATACTGTAACAACAGAGAACTATAGAACTGAATAAGCAAATGCAATCCAACAATTTAGCAAAGAGAGATATAACACAAGAAATAATTAGGGCCCAGTCGTTATCAAGTTTAGATTCATTTTCTTTGTTCTATCATCTCGTAAAACTTGAGCAACCAATTCTCTATCATTTCCGTTTTCTAGAAACACAAAATGGAAAAACATTTTCTTACTTCCATGACTATGAAATAGAAAACAAGCAGAACACAATTTAAAGATCCTCTACCTGTTCTCTAGGCTTGAGCTTAGTCTTAGTGCAGGTTATCTATCCTCTCTCCTATCTATCTCTTTCTCTTCTCTAGAAACATATTGTGGGATCTAACAGAAAGAGTGAATAAAAAAGATATATAATACGGCTTATTAACGGATAATGTATAATATTTACAAAAAAGAAAATACCCAAGTATCAAATTAGGACCCTTAATAAGTAATTCATTGGGGCGTTTTTTCCCTAGATTTACCTTCATTTAAAATTTTAACATTATAATTTTATTATGTATTAAGCATAAAATTAAATAACTTATACCTTTGATTTAATTTTATTTTAATTTAGCACTAGTTTAGAATTAGAATTGTTGCCTTTATTTATTTTTCGCACATAAAATTTAAAACTACCATGTTTTATATTTATCATTAAACTGATATTGTACTATTACTAGTAGACATATATTTCAATGGTTTCAGTTACAAACACTGTTTTCAAAGAATGATGATAAATGCATTCTCAAATTTTGAAAATACAAATTACATTTCTTGTATTCATTTTTTAATTTACTAATACACAAAAACAATAATGAATGCATCCTTAGAAATCAGAAAAGCCTAGTTAACACACACGGTGATTTCAAAATAATATGAGCAAAATAAAACCATGAAACAACAACTCATGAATCGCACTAGATCATCATAAGAAGATTAGCTCGATTAAGATAATTAAACATGGGGTTTCTCAGACAGCACAAACAAAAAAACTACTGCACCAGATTCATCCTACGACACACTAATCATTCCCACCAAATTTGCACCACATCACCATATTCCTAAATACTATTGCCTTATTCAGTAGAAAAATTCAAAGCAATCAAGCAATTCTGCACTCCAATAGAAACTTTACATTATCCCAAATATCATCAACACAAAAATAACTGAAATACTTCCTCAACTTCATATATTAGCACGTTGATGATACGTTACATTCCTTAATTGCACATGTACACTAAAATCAAGCATATCATCCAATAAAGAAAATGAATTTTAGCATTAGAAATACAATCGAAACCTAAGAAACAGAGTGATAGTAAGTCGATCATAAAACGTAAAAGAGAAAGAACGAAAGCTGACCTATAAAGCTCTTCAAAACTGAGGCCACTAGCGTTGTGATTATAAATCTCATGAATCGCATGCTCCAGAATCTTCCACGTCTTCTCGGCGTACTTCGGATCCACCACCACACGGTGTTTGAACGCCTCTATTTGAAAGTTCCTCTTCTTCTGATTACTCATTTCTCAACCCGAATCCGAAGCCAAACAACAAAATATTCGGATCCAAGAACCACAAATTAAAAAGTAAAGTGTAAAGTGTAACGATCACACGGAGATCATGAAACGGTCGAATTCCCGTATAAGACCGGTGACCGGAAGAAAAATTGTACGGCGGAGAGAGAGCGGGCTAGGGTTTGAAAAATGGATTAAAAGATAAGTGTAAAATGGGTCCCAAAATGAGTTATGATTAATGAATTGGAGGGATTTTGATATTTGATGATGAATATATATATATATAAATTAAAGCAAAAACGGGTTCAGAGGGTAAGGTAGCGAGAGTTGGCTCGTATTGTTATAAACTATGATATCGTTTCGGGGGTTTACAACAATTCGCTCTTCAAAGTTGAAGAAAGTAAAACACACCGCAAAGATTTCAATAGTAATAAAATTATAATTCAATCTTAGGAGCTACTACAAACTAACTATAAACTGATTATTTAAAAACCACTAATTCAGTTGTGAGAGAAAGTTATCAAATTGGGTTGTAAGTGCAGTATTATCTCTCAAAAAATTAATTATTTTACTATAGTACCTTTTACCTATTCTTTTGGGTTATATTACTTCAATTTTATGGAATAAATTATAATTAAACTATGAATAGTTAAATTACTGTTCATTTTATAAAGTAAATGAGAAGTCCAAAAACCTAAATTTAATTAAATTACTGATAAGAGCTTGAAAGTATACATATTATTAGTGATTTAATTGGATTATTTGTAGAAAAAGAGGTTTAATTGTTGGAATTTGAATTTATTATTTCATAAATACTTTTTACGGGATCACGAGTGTATTTTGAGTATTTTCAGATTCAAACCAATATTTGAAGGAAAAAGAATGATGTCGATGGAATTCGTGAAGAGTAAGAACAAACGATGCAAGAATCGGAGTTGAAACGAGAAAGTTGTGACGCATCGAAACTACAACGTAAAATCTAAAAATCTTTCAAGATGAGCATGCTTTGATGTTTCGATCATAACTTGAGCTGTGGTAATCAGAATTCGACGATTCTGGTGGCATTGGAAAGCTTATTCAAAGAGCTACAATCAAATTCTGAAGTTCACGGACTCTGGAGACAGAAAGAACGATGGCCACAACGATCATTTCTCATCGCCGCAACGATGGGTCTCGGGCCTGTTTGGGTTATTGCATTCTCCTAATCCGAATTTGAGTGGGTTAAGGATTTTTACTCTTTTCCTAAGTAAGATCAAAACCCTAGGATATAAAGAAGGGTCTTTAGGGAGATTGAAGAAGGAGAAAGGACGGCTACTACTTTGGAGATCGAAATTTTTGTGATTCTCGTTCACAAATTAGAGAAGTGTTTCTATTTTTCTTTCTTGAACTCATATTATTCAATACAATGGTTGTTTTCATTAATGTATTTATGAACTAAATCTCTTTTCTAGGGTTAAAGATATAGCCCAATTTATGAATATGTGTTGACTTAAATTGCTGTTAATTCTTATTCAACATTTAATTCTAAGTTTTATTATTGTGCATAGTGCTTTCAATTCTTAAGAATCCGAGAGTTAAATGATATCATGGGATTGGGTTGAGATCGAGAGATGAAATCTGATTTGTCTAAGATAATAAAACCATAGATTGAGCAAACGCTAGAGATAGGTTACCGCAATCTGTGAGGCTCTGGTAAATTCTATGAAACTTAATGATCTCTTTACTTCTAAATCCAACTTAGAGATATTTTGGGTTGTTGCTAAGGGTTAATTCACTAATTGTTCGAGAGAAAGTTAGTGGAATATTAGGGAATTTGGCCTTTAGAATAAGCTTAATTAGGTTAGCAATAATTGTCAATGCATAGGATTAAATTGGTGTGAAATCTGTACCCTAAGTTTAGTCATATTGATTTCTTTACCAAAGTATTTATAAAATCATGTTTTTATTTAGGTTTTAGTTTGTTATCTTTTTTATTAAATTCATTCTTAAAATTATGTTTCATTAAATAATAATAAAATAGACTAGTTTGGTACTTGGTAGGTAGTTCTCTTGGGATTCGACACTCGTTTATTCGAGCTTTATTACTTACGTGATTTCGTATACTTGCGAATAGCCTGTCAATTACATACTAAGAAAATTGTAAAGGGAAGTATAATAAGATAAAGGATACTAAAGTCTTTTTGAAACAAAGTTTTAGATTCTTTTTAGTTTTTATTTATTTATTTCTATACAGTTAAAATACAAATTGAAAAGAATATATAATTAGATAAAAGATATTATAGTCTTTACTAGGCATGGCAATCCTCTCCGAAATTTCGGGGACCTGTCCCGACCTGCTCCATATGGGGTAGGGAAGCCCTGGTTTTTTTGAGGATAGGGGCGAAGGCGAAGGGCGTTTTCATCCCCGTCCTCAGGGTTAGGGCAAGGGTAGGTGATGCTTTTCCCCGCCTCACCCCATATATAATATATAAAGTTATATATATATATACTTTTCACTAATACTTATATATTTCACCTAGTTTCACAATTATCCTACCTATATAAATTCATATTATGTTTTCATAAGGAGAATCCAGGGAAATGCTCAAATTTATGTTTATGTAAAATTAATTATGTTTAAACGATTAATTTAAGTGTTTGTCAAGTGGACGAGAATTAACTATGTTTGATAATGCTCAAATTAATTTATGTTTATGTAAAATTAAAGGGGCGGAGACGGGCCTCCAACATTCCCCATGGGGTAGGGAAGAGGAATTTCTGTCATTCCCGTAACGGGGATGGGGCGAGGGTAGGGAGTGATTTTTAGGACGAGGATGAGTATGGTGAATGAGATCCCCGACCCATTGTCATACCTAGTCTTTATTGATAAAATAATTAATTTTTTGGGTGTAATTGTTATTATCCAAAACCCTAGTGTATTTGTTAAATTGTTATAAGAATGGGCGTTTGGCTCGCTTCGTCAGGGACCCGACCCACCCCAACCCGAACGAGATGGAGATTCCCCAAAACAATTAGGGGTTGGGATGGGCCCAAGCCCAATGAAATTCCCCGATCCTAGGGATGGAGGTAGGCATGGACTCGCCCCGCCCCGTGCTCATTTTGAGAAATAGTGATTTTGAGGTAAGTAGAAATTATGCAAATTTTCCTATTTTTCTCAGCAACCAAACATATCACCAATGAGGAAGATAGGAAAAAAGACATATACACCAAAGCTATTACATTCCTTTTAAAGACCCAATTAAAATTTCCCTTTCCTCCAGTTTTTCAGCAACCAGACAAGCCACCCAATAAGTAAAAGAGAACAAAGCAATTCAATTAAGTATCTGACGAGCTAATTTTCACTAAGCCGCTTTAATTACTTTTCTAGTGGCAGATATGGGAACCCAATAGTGGCATAGTAATCACTAGAAGCTGCCACCACAAATGGGCCAAACGGAGCGCAAAGCCTCCTGCATTATTGAGCTTTGAACTACCAAAAGGAAAGAGTAATAGTAATCTTGCTCACTCTTCTTACTCACTTCTCTTACTCACATTTGTTAAAATGTTAGCCTTATCCACTTTTTAACTTTTTTAATAAAGGTGAGTAAAAGAAGTGAATAAGGCTAGCATTATTCAAAAGGAAAACCAGCAACAGTTAAAGTAATAGAAGCAAAGCTCTTGTGAGACCTAAGGTGGGTCATAACTTTGAAGAAAGAAGAAGAAACGGGACGATCGAGACGGCAATGAGAGTCACCACATCCCCGTGGGCCAGGGATGAGAATTTCCTGACATCCCTGTCTCGGGGATGGGTAGAGCTCGGGGAATCCCTTTGGGGATTGGGGCCCCTAACCCCACCCCACCCCGACCCCGACCACGCCCATCCCTAATTCGTTACTTTTCTTCAACCTTGAGGAGGAAATTGTTGTAAACCCTCGATTTGGGTTCACTAAAGCAATTTACAACTTCTTTTCTCTTCTTCTTTTTGGTTTATTAGTTGCTATGTTTAGCTAAACAAATCTCAGGGAGGTTGTGGGAATGCTTCTATTTTTTTTCTATTATATTTAAAAAAAAAAATTAATATTTGAAAACTGTAAAAGGATGTTATGATCAGATTTTATTAATACTTGGATTTGGGTACCGTTTGAGATATGATTTGGAATGATATTATTCAGTTTGTTGTAACAAAATTCTATTTATACATTGATTTACACTTTCTAGATCAACGTGTATGTGACGTTGACATTTATGGTTTAAGATAAAAAAAAAATTAATTAGACTTTTTTATATTAATATTATGCTTCAAAATTTATTTGGATTGCTTTTTAATTTTAGTTTTCTGTTATATACTTTTTAATAAATAACATAGCTAATCAATTCAATATTTTTTAATATACACATTCAATATTTTTTAATATACACATTAGCGTATAAACTTCATAGAAATAATGAAATATAATTAATAAAAATACAAAAAAATAATAAAATAATAAAATCAAATCAAATAAAAGGAATAAATTATTTACTTTTCGTGTCACATTGGTTTATAGCATTTAAAACTAATGTTGATAAATATAGGAAAATTAAAATAGTTAAATCAAGATGTCATTATATATATATAAAACCATGAGACATAGGCCATATGATTGATTTTAAAGGAGCTAGAATTCTTTCATTTTGACACGTCTGCAGTTGATTGCCCAACACATGGCTGCATTTGATTGGTGATGATGTGGATTATTTACATTTGGCTAGATGTTATTGGTGATGATATGCAATAGATTGTTGAGTTGTATTTTATGGTATATTAGGCTTCATGTAATTGGTGTTTGATATTGTTTGTTAGTAATGATAGATATTAATAATCTTATTGATTGTTGTTTGTTTCACATTGACAATAAATATTGTCATTTACATTTACATAACCATATACACTCATTTTATTGATTGTTGTTTGTTTATAAATTTATGTGAATGTAAGGGGTCTTATACCTTGTATGTTATTCACAATACATTTATGTGAATTTAAGGGGTTTGTGAATATAAATGGTTTGATAAGTTTTTATTTTGTTACATTGTATGTGTTGTATGTTGCTCTTTAATATAAACGGTTGCAGATATTTATGAAAATGTGAAGAGTTGTATACTTTAATTGGATGTATATAGTAAATATACGTAATTATTTGTGTAATTTGGAATAACCAGCAAGAAGCTGAGCAAGAAACAAAGTTATAGTTATTCGGTATTGTAATTTTTATATGTTTATATGTCATGTTCTTGCCAGTTTATTGTTTATATTTTATCATATGTTCATGCCAGTTACTTTTCCTAAAATTTCATTTAGGTATATACAATTTGTGGAAGGAACAAAGTTGCTACTTATATATATATCTTGGTGAAGGTAAAGTTATTCGATATTGTAATTTTTATATGTTTATATGTGATGTTCTTGCTAGTTCCGGTTTATTTTTAATATTTTTTTCATTTATAATGATTTATATTATAAGTTATGGTTCGACAGGCGAATCATAATGAAACGTTAGTATGTTTGTGATTATGTCACAGGAACTCCACATGGAGAATCATGTAGAGCACCATGAGCGGCCGAAGTATAATGATTTATGTTATAAATTATGGTTCGACAGTCGAACCATAATGGACCATTAGTATGTTTACAGTGGTGTCGCATAGAATCTACAATGCCGAACTATAATGATTTATATTATAAGTTATGGTTCAGTAGCCAAGCTGTAATGAACCATTAGTATTTTTGTGATTATGTCACAGGTATTCCACATGGTGAATCATGCAGAGCACCACGGCAAACTATGCAGAGCACTTATTGATTATTCAACTATAGTTTATAATTTTCAACATACAATTCAATTGCTGAATTATGTTGGTTTATTATTGATATAACAACTACTTTTTCCTCGAATTTGATTTAGGTATATATGATTTTTGGAAGAAACAAAGCTGCTGCTTATATATCCACGTGAAGGTAATGACTATTTTTATTTGTTTATTTTCATTAAAAATCCAGGTGACCAAATTATAATTACATATCTAACAAGTTCAGGTTTATATCTTGAACCATAACGATGTTGTTGGACAAAATCTACAAGAGCGAACTATAATGATTAATATTATATTTATGCTTCGACAGTCGAAGTATAATGTATCATTAGTATGTTTGCGTTTATGTCACAGGAACTCGATACAGCAAAACATGCAGTTTTTTTTTTTTTATTATATTTGCATATATAATTATGCAATAAAACAAAGTAAAAATCTTAATAAAAAAAGTTAACAGAAATTTTCTATCTTAAATACAAATGATCAAATTACTATTCATATATTAACTATAAATTAGTTTTTTTTTTTTTTCCCTTCTATCAATCATCTTCAACTTCAATAAAGCAAATTAAAGAGAATATTTCTTCATGCAGTGACGTTAGGAAGTGGCATGAAGCTAGAAAATGTACATGAAACTAGTTATTAGATAATTAGGTTCTGTCATGATACATCTTTCACCATCACAAAACCCATTACTGCATGTTGATGCAATAATTCGTACCAACCAGAGATATCCAACCAGCCTTGGAGGGGACCAGACAAGATGTGCGTATGGTCACTAGTAACTAGTAAGGTCGCTAAAACAACGTAATAAAGTAAAGAATAAAAAAAAAATTTATAGTGGTTCGGCGGTATGAAAACCAAACCTGCATTCACTGTCATGTTATTATTGCAGGATGTTACAAGGTCAAATGAGATTACAAAGGAACGATCACGAGATCTAGGGGTAGGCAAGTCCGGGTACCTGCCCATAACCAAAGGAACCAGAACTGGGCGGTTCCTTTGATTTGGAACCAGAACCAGAACCAGAACCGTCGGTTTCGGTTCCTAAAACTTGGAAGGTTTCGGTTCTGGGTACCCTAGAAAATATCAATTACCCCATATTTTTTTTAAATCACAAATAAACTCTTATAAAATTACAATTACACCCCTAATAATTAAGTGCAAAACATTAAATAATATATTTGTTTATATTTACTTGATGTTTGATGCTTAACTATAAGTATTTAATTATTTGTTTTCACCGATAATAAACATTTAAAAGCTATTATTTAACATAAATGTGTTAATGTATATTAACTTCTTAATCAAGTAATAAGTGAAACTTAAATATTTATAAGAATATTTTGAAAAACTGATATTTTAATGAAAATTAATAAGACTTTTGATACTAAGATGAAAAAACCAAAATTTTCTTATATATTTATATGATAAAAAAATAAAAAAATAAAAAAACCCATATGCAAAATATCAAAAAAAACCCATATTCTTTAATATTCTATCAATTTAGTCCTGATTCCTGGTTTCGGTTTCGGTTCCTTTGATTTGGAACTGGAAACAGAACCGCACAGTATCGGTTCCTACATTTTGGAATCGGAACCTACCCTGTTACGGCTAGTTTCGCATAGGAATCGAAACCAACACTCGGGTACCCGTCGCTTCCGGTTCTACCCTAAAATTTTACCCACCCTTAACTAGATCAATGGAAGGCATTTGGCTCTTGCAACTTATTCTCTTTAAACTATCTCTAAAAAAATCAATGTATTTATCCTTAAACTTTACTAATACTCGAATCCTCTCTTGAAACGGAGGTTGTAGGCTCCTTTTATTCTTAGCTCTTCTGATAGTGGTTGAGAGTGAGTGTTACGAGGTTGCTTACATGCATTATCCTCCTAATTAGGATCTGAGTCAATAATTCTCATGTTTGTGATAAATCGGGCTATGCTAATGAAAATTTAACTCATACTTGACAGTAATCACCTTGTGAGAAACTAGATAGAAAAAATAGTTGAATCACTTAAAAAAAAGTTTTAAATAAATTTGTCGTAAACAATAATAAGGATTTAAAATTAAAAAAAATAAAACTATTTTTACTACTAGAACTTAATAAATAATTTTATTTTGTATCGAATATAGAAAGGCCCATCTTAAAATTTTTGGGAGAGTTTCATAAACTACCCCCAAGTTTTGCTTAATTACAAATCTATGATGGTTATATAGGAAATTGTCAAAACCAACCCCTGAACGGCTGAACCTTACTGCCGTCGAAAGAAACGGTTCAAGGGCCTGTTACTTTTTAGTCATTTAATGTTAGAAATTAATAAATATGGTTCCTTTTTAAATTAGATTAACTAAAGCCTCCTCAATTAACCATCCACTGTTCACCGTCACTTTCCTTATTGAAATAATAATAATAATAAATAAAAAGAATGAGTTATCCACTTTTTTTATCCAAATAATAATTTAATGACATTTTCTCACCATAAATTTTTAAAATACTATTTTATTATTTAAATTTATATTTTGTTTCTGATTTTGGTGTTGTTGTGAGCTCACGCTACTATAATTCTCTTCTCCAACCATCACTTACTAAAACCCCTCAAATCCTATTTTCGTTGATCATATCAATAATTGACAATCGTTCGATTAGGGTTTACAAAATCATCCATCTCAAGTCAAATTCTAATTAATCTCATCTACCAAAATCTAGGGTGCGTTTGGTTCCATATTATTATCCATATTCCCAATCCTATTCTCCAAATATTGTTTGGCACATTATTTGAGAAATATTATTGTATTTTTTTAATTATTTTTAGAGCCCTTAAATTTACTAATTTCATAAATACCCTCAGAAAAAAAGTTTAAAAAGTAACAAAAATACCTCTTAAACCCATACTTGCCAGATTCTGGCAACCACCGTCGGTGGTTGTTGGAATCTGTTACAACGGCCTACACCACTACTGGAAAAAGCTGGTAATTCACCGATTTGGCATTTTTCGGCTAGATCCACAGATTTGGCTGTCAGCGACAGCCAAAGATGGACTTTTGCAGCCGTCGACGGCCACATCTGGCTGTAGATCTGACATTTTCTAGGCAGATCCGTGATGGATCTGGCCGAAAAAGGCCATATAGACGTATTACGACACATATCCGATCGGTCTGTGTCGTAACATAATTTTTTGGCCAAATTTTGGCAGTGGTGGCTAGAATCTGACACTGCAGGTGATGTGGGTGTTTTTATTATTTTATAAAATTTTTATATATAGGAGTGTTTAATTAAATTAGCAAACCTATGAGATTTTTTAGAAATTTTTAAATTTTATCTCATAATATTCTCCTATTCAACTACCCAATATTATTTCTAAAATCCTATCCAAAATAATAAACCAAATACACCCAATCTTTCGCTATCAAAACACTCGTCTGTTTTCCCTTTTCAAAAAATACATCCATAATAAAACGATATTTTAAAAATTGGGAGAGAGAAAGCCTTCATTAGCCCATTATTTGGGTGTAAAAAAGTCGTTAACTCTAAAAGAACCAGCAAACCATCACATCTTAAATTTTAAAACCCAAGCCCCTGGTTCTTTAAATTAATTTGATTGAGTTGATGAAATTCAGTTGATTTTGTCCAGCAATTTCTCGAATCACCATCATCATCTTCCTCTCCGCCCCTTTCCCTTTCTACCCCAGCCTCTCCAGTCTCCATTACCGTCCATGTCATCGTCATCATTCTCTTCTTCATTCTCGTTGTTGTTTTTTTTTTTTTTTTTTTTTTGTCTTCTTTCTTTGTGGAAGATCGGGAAAGACTTCTCTTCATCACGAGACTGATCGGCTACGCCGTAGACATCCGAGAGACCTCCACAAAAGCGCAGAGACCTCCACAAGGCAGGCTAAAAGAGTAAGAGGAAAACAAGCAAAGAGTTATGCTTTAATTTCTTTGTTGATATTGAAATCAACTTACTTAAAAAGGGTAGCTATGATGCACTTTAGAGTTGAGCCCTCGTCACATTCTTTCTTGGATGGGTTTGAAGAGTGCCTCACGGCTCACTAATTTTTTTTTTCTTTTTTCTTTTTTCAATTCCCTTTTCCTTAATTTGTTTAACTTGATTGATAAGCTCAAATAGTCACGCTAGACAAATAGCTTACCTTATTTTTAAAGCTACTTCGCGTCAAAGTTACGCTCCTACCCCTCTTATAAGTACCACCACCCTGAAATCCGCGAAAATTTGAGAGACTTCCACAGCCAAGAACCGTACATACGAACCTTTGTTCATAAGGTACTCTCACTTTACAAGTTACATGATATGTTTGCTTCACTTAATTATTTTAATATTTTCCTTCCTTATTATCTAAGGAATTAATGTTCTTTGTTTTTTGTAAGTTCGTTCGACTGTAGTTGGATTATAAATTTATAATTTGAGTAACTGAACTTGCGATACCTTTGTTGTAGGAGTTTGTGCCTTTGTATGTAACATGTCTCAAGATTTTTTGTTGGAACGACCTCTGTTTGGCGGCGCAATTACTAGCACTTTCCCTCAGAGGCTCCAGGTTTGTTGCAGTTAAATCAAATCATTTTTTTTTTTTAATAAAATCATTCTTGTTTAAATATAACTTCTATTAAGTCTAGACTTAATTAAGGGTTTTGATTGACTTCTAAGTTAACAATTGTAGGATGTGAGCGATATTCGGCAAGTCCCTGATCATCAGGTTGGTTATATAGATTATTTGGTGACAACAAGATGGATGAGTCTCATTTTTCTTATTCAAATTGTTAGATGGTTGAGAATTGTTTTCAACATTGTTGAGTATAATTTTTGTGGATTTAAAGGAGGTATTTGTGGACCCGGCACGTGATGAAAGCTTGATGTTTGAGCTGTTAGATTTCAAGCATGCAGTTGCTGATAGTGAAAGTGCTAATTGGTTCCTTCAAGACCTTGCTACTGAGCAAGATGCTGAAGGATGTGCGGTAAATTTCTTGGTTTTATCTTTGTAATTGTTGAATTTATTGTTTTGCTCACTATTTTTACATCCAGAGACTAAATTCAAGCTTGTTACTTGTCTCTTCATTCATTCTTTTTTAATGTTTGGATGGAAAAATTTGTGATGAAGCAAGGGAGCCTCTGATGCGCCATTGATTAGAAGTGCACATGATCATTGAGTTTTCCTAATTGATTATTGATGATTGATATTGAATGAAACTATATTTTCTATTGGATTTTTTTTTTTTTTTTTTTTTTTTAATTTCAATGTAGTAGTGGATGCAGGTTTCAGGTGCCTTGTTATTTAGTCTATTTTTGTATGGTGCACCATGTTATTGCCTTCATATAATGTAGTTTTTTTGCCACAAATAAAACCAATTACTCTTCATTTTAGTATTTTTCTTTCTTCAAATTTGTGTTTATGCTATATGTGTGATTGTGAGAGAGAGAGAGAGGACTGGTTTGGACGCTTCTTTTTCTACCATTCGTCTTGGTCATTTAAATACCTACTTAAGTCAGTTGCAATTATGACATTCTTTTTTGTACACATCAGCTGTTGGAGCAGTCAGGAGTGATAGAGGCCCCTGGATTGCCCTTTGGAAACATCCCTGCTGTCTTTACAACAGCAGTTGGTCAAATGGTATGTTTTGTATCATGTAGCTAAAGTTCCATTAGCTTACTGGTTTTAGCTTTAAGCTGTCTGCCATGTTTATATATCATCCTCAAATGCTCTTTGAGAATAACTTTCACTATAAGCTTTGAAATTGATGTGACACTGTATTTTTGTTTGTGTTGATTAACTAATGCATAGTAGCTGTAGCACATTTCCCAAATACCGGTTGCTCACCATCTCTTTTGTAATCTCATACAGAAAGCATATGTTTAGAAAACATAACTTCTTGTATAGAATAGAAAGAGTTTATGATTCACCATCACTATTATGAGTACCCTAGCCTCTGCATCCAGTAAATAAAAAGGCACCCACGTTAATGTGTTGCTCAAAATTTTTGTAAGATTTCAACTTCTTTTGCCTGGTCAAAGTTCTGTTTGAAAATTGTTATAGACATAATGTTGGTTAGTCTTTGAATGAATTTAAACTGAGGTCCAACTGCTGAAGGGCTTACCATGAAAATGTTCCATTTTTACCATATATGTACCATAATTTGTTTGGCTTTTGGGGATTTCTATTGTATAGATTGTTTCCTAAATCTGACTACAAATTGACACTCATTAGAATTGTGCCGTATGAGTATTTGAGTAATATTTGACAGAGAAATTAGAATTGTTTTTTCCTTTTTGGGTAGTGTAGAGTTGGAAGCTTTGCATGGCTCTACTTTAAAATTAATTATATTATATCTGATACTTCTTTGATAGTTTTCTAGAATGCTATCGAATGAGGAAAATTTAACACTATTTATACTCTCTGCTTCTGTACACAATTTATTGTGGCAGTATCAAGTTGACACTCTGCTTGTTTAGTGAACAGTCTTCTAAGGAAAGAAAGTGCATTTTTATTGTTGTCTTCAATGTTTGTTTCATATCAATGATATTAATTGAAAAAAACTTTGTTGGGATTCTTTGTCCTAGATTCTTGTCATCTGACATTGCTCATATTATGTAACTTATATATTTGTCATCACCCTTGCGTAGGCCATTTCTAAAGGAAGGCAAGGAAGGGAAGCACAAAATATTTTGAGGGTAAGTTCATTTTGTGTTTCTTTATTGTCAGTCAGTTGTTGAAAAATACTAATTGAAGTTTATCACTAATATTTGCAGGTCTATTTGGCAAATTTACGTCTAAGGCTAGTTGGTACAGATGTACTAGTAATTGCTTATGAGCCCACCGTGATAAAGTAAGTAGCAAGAGCATACCAGTACAGGAATTTATCTTGTCCTTTATTTATATTTTTCTTCTTAATAAATAAATTTTAGGATACAGTTTTCTTACATAAAAGCTTCACACAAACTTTCTTGTATCTTGAAAGCACATTTCTTGTAGCTGTAAACTTGGTATATAGTTTGCATTGGGGGTCTGGAACTTTGAGAGTTACTGTAAAACATAAATTAATCAATCCTAGAGCATTGCAAATTTGGCTGGTCTTCCAAGAACTTAGGTATATGCTGCTCTATCGTGAGGATTTCTTTAATGCCAAAGTCCAGAAGAATTTAATATGTATTAATTCTCATAATGCAATTTTTTGCGTCCCTATGAACTGAAGAGAGTTCCAAGTCTATACCTTGTACTTTTAATCACCTTAAATGGAATGGGGTCTTGGGCTGATCTGTTCTAGTGTTGATTAAAGCTTTTGGGCTTGTTTAATATCTGTGGATTCTTAGTCTTTGGGTTTTTTGTATGGTTTTTGACACACTGGCTTAACTACAATTCACTCTTGTGTCTCTTGTAATATCACTGGTGGATTTATGATCTACTCATGTATCTCGTTTCCCTCCCCATGTTATAACGGTATTTCCCTAATGTTTCTGCTGTTATGTTATTGTGATTGCAGCCCTTTGAGTGAAAGTGCTAGCACAGTTGGTGCTGGTTTAGCTGTTCCTGCTGCACAATGTGGATTGATGCCAGTGTCTGAGGTCTTTAAACTTGCAGTTTCTAGCTTCAAAGTAAATGACTGGAGCCTTTTTGGTGATGCTGCTTCTTGAGATTTGATTAAGAGGCAGCTGTGAATTCACAAATACAAGTGACCTGGTTTCTTTTCCGAGTTCTTATTTTAAGAAATTGTCCAAGGTAGGCTTAATTCGTCACATTACTCACTTTACATGTATTCTGAATGTTGAGATTATATTGTATGGGAATCGAGAACTATTTGTAATTTGCATATCTAGACTGTTGAAAATTAGAAAGGTTGTTAACTAGTGAAGTATAGAGATTGTTCCTTGTATGAAGTTGAGAATGTAGGGAAGATATGGTTCAGAGAAAATCATTTCTTTGAATGAAAGATTTTTGAAATGCTACAGAAGGGAAAGGTAAATATCTTTGGAATCCAAGAAAGTTTTGGTTGCAGAAGACTTGTTTATCTTACTTTTGCCAGCTTTAACAAAAGAAGAAGGTGCTTTCTGTTGGAAATGTTTTGATGATAGAGGTACATAGGCCATTCAATTGTGTAAATAAATGGGCTGGACTGAGGCGATAGGATCTGAAATCTTTAAACCAATAAGGTGTATGTTAGCATGTTTGGAATAAGATAAAGGAGAACGTGGAGAGTTAAAACAAATGTGAAATATGTACATAAATCATTGAAAGCACTAAACATGTTTGTTAACTTTATAAGAAAATAGAATGACGGCTTAGTGGACAATCTTAAAAGTTATAACGAATTGTATAAAATGATTCAAAGGTGCTATGAGTTATCACATCAAAATCAAAATTTAATGAAATCGTGGTTTGTTTGTAAACAGAATGTGGGATCGTACTGGCAATTTATATAAAATTCTCTGCTTTTAAATACTACAGCTGGACTTGTCTACTTCTTTCATTTAAAAACTCTCTTCCTATGAATCATGCTCAATTGACGTGTGTGTTATGCCTAATTGAATTGAAAAATCATTCATTTATAAAAGTCTCTTCCAAAATAACTCAATTCTAAAATTTCAGCCTTCTTAAATAATATCATTAAATTGTTCAAGTGGTGATAGTAATTCGGCAGTTGATTTATTTGAGTGTAATTTCAACCTATGGAGGCAAAAGTAAGTAAAATAATTGACAAGTCAATCACGTGAGTGGCAACTGGGTGGGTCCGAATGGACAATTCACATCTTAATCTTAACAATATTGTGCCCCATACCCTTCTCTTACATTATATTTTTTTCTAAATTAATCTTATAAATATTTTGAAAAAGGGATTTTTATGATGTTTCTTTAAGACCATATACATTAAGGATATTAAATTATGATGAAATAAACAAACCAAAATTCAATACATTTTATATTTCAATCGCTTAACTTATGTATTTAGAGACTTAATAATATCTTAGTAGGTGGATAAATTAATTATTTAATAAGAGATGCTTATTGTTATTGATAGTTTGAAACTTTTGAAGGCGTTAACATGTGATGTAGGATTAACAGGTCCAGCCCAGCCCAATTAATTAAGGACGCAGTTGTAGAAAAGTCATGCACGATGTAACTCAACTTTTTTTTTTTTTTCCCCCCTACTATTAGAATGATGATGTCAGCCCTAGTTCATCATGTAAAGATATGAATGATGCCATCTTATGTATGCCACATGTCAAGATATAATTCTATTATAGGAAAGAAAAGTAATCGAAACCAACGGACATGATGAGTCTCTCACAAGGGCAAGGGAAAGAGAGATAGGAATTGAGAGTGACGTGGCAGTGTCAGGTTACCCACCAACTTTGGCAGAGGGACTGAATAAGGACAGATTGACAGGAAGAACAGTAAGTTTTTGGCATTGCCAAATTTATTGGAGGCATGTGGTGAAGATTGGTTAGCCTCAGAATCTGATCCGTCCAGCGCCGAACTAGATTTTATGTAAAGTCTGATTTCTGTGTGATTTAGATCGTCTCATAACTTAACCCAGTTTCTTTGTGAGTTCAGTATATATCACGATATCCATTAAAAATAAAAGATGCTATTCTTCTTATTTTTTGTTTCTTAGTGTGAAACTAGAAAGTTTAATTTACTATATATTATTGATCCACTTGTTGGGTCCATTATTAGATGTTAATTTGTCCCATTCAGGTCTGAATGTGAAAAGTAAAAAATAAAAAATAAAAGAGAGATAAATGGTCTGCCGACAGAGAAAGTGGTGAATTTTGGTGGTCATTTAAGAGAAGAAGATGGTCAACAGGTCATGGATAGTGACTCCTAAACAATTCTTTTATTGTGCCCAACAAATCTAACTCATCTCATCCCTTCATTTAACAGCAACTTAAAGATAAATATTAGCCCATGGAAGGCTATATCTATTAATTTGTTACGACGGTACAAAAATAAAACAAAGTGAATAGACAGTTTGATATTAATAATAATGACTACGAGGTAAGGTCACTAACAACACCAACAATTGAATGACCCACTTTCTAATATATTATTATTATCAGTCCCATGGATTACTTTTAGTGCTGGGTACGGATTTTTGAAGTGAGATGGATTTTCTGATTGGCTTCTCTCCGTCATTTTTCCATTGCCAACCTGTCGTTCATTGGGTTATCTTTTCTTTTACATCAATTTACTTATCTCTATAAACTCCAATCCTTTACGTACTCATGGGTTGTTCTCTACTACATTGTTGGTATTAGAACAAAGATTATTAATATTCTAATGCATATACGTTGAAACTACCTTTTTGTTTGGAGAATTGTACAAACTACGTACATAGCCATAACAAAGTTAAGTAATTGAAGGGTGGGTTAAGTGCCAATATTCCGACAAATTGGTTTAAATGATTAGAGTAGAATGGATGGTAAGGCATCCACATCACCGGCATAGGTGGCAAGGCACGTGATTTCTCATCACTCTTATCTTTGTGATAAAAATCTCATGGGACCCTAATTAAATGTCGATTCTACCCTAATCCTTCATTTTCTCAAATCACTTGTGTTCTTCATAACAAACAAATCTTTCTCATTTGGATCTCTAATAATTCCACCAAACTATATGACTCCACATTTGAAGAAACTATTAGTAATCATCCATTTATAAATTTATATATTCTTTAAGATTCCTAATAATTAATAATCGTACTCTATTCTAGAAGTTGTTTTGTAATTTGGTAACATAAATAATAAAAACATGTTTTTCTATATCTCCTTTTCCGAATGAAACACATGGGTTCTATGTTTCTTCAAAGTTTTAGGAAGTGATTAGAATTAAACTATGGTGCAATTAGGGTTACAGTAGAAAGTGATAATGTCGTTGGGCAGTGCATGAGACAAGTTTGATATATATTATTATTGGGTTTTTGTGGGTGACTGAGGAGAAGGGTAGAGAGAGTTATGGTGAAAAAGTACATATGTAAATTGGAATTAATGAGATGACCAACATGTATTTCAAATCAAATTTTAATCCTAGGAATGGTCATTATCTATTTAGATAAATGATTACAGTACTTGAATTCGATTCATGATGAGTTAGGTATGTTGGTTGTTGAATTTATATTATTATTTTTGAAGGTTTACCGTATGGCATATTATCATTATTATTTGTGCTGTATGTAGATATATATATTATTTGTTCCCTTTTAAGTTACACTTAGGGTTGTTTGTCACATGGGTTAGACATGCCATGCTTTCTCACTTCACTGCACTGGTGGGGGCCGGCTACCATTCGTTTATATTTTGAATGTTAAGTTGCAGGGTAATTAATAATTTGGTGAAAATGAAATAAGTAGCTAGGTTTATCCAGTAGATATTAGGATTGAAGAAAATGAAAAAGACGTATAAGTGTTGAGTTGTAAGGCTTTTTTGAGTCAACAAATTTAGCTTTCCATAAGACCACAACTTTTAAGGACCACTCACTCATATTGAGCTGTGTGGCTCACATGTCTGAAATTCGAGATCTCAATAAGTGTTGTCTATATCATCCCATAATGTCATAATTCCAACTCCCATTTGGGACTTAAATTATTCACACCTTACAAATTCGAGATTATAAGTCTATTACTCGTTGATTTATTATACATTGCCAGTTTGAAGTCTCTTATGAACAATATTAAACTTGTAACGTCACCATATTAATATAATGATGCCACTATGAGACAATTTAATCCAATTATATTTATATTATGAATGAAGAAATTAACACATTTTCTTTCCTATCACACTATTTTGTTTTTGTTTGTTTAGTGCTTTCTTTTGAAAATCTTTATGCAAAGATTGACTTTTTTTTTACCTCAATATGGAGCGGTTAGGCTCGTTCACTTCACTTTGTGATTAATTCCCCTAAAAAAAAAAAAAAAAAACCAACCCGTAGTTAATAGTATGAATATATATTTTGTCTGGCTAAAATTTAAACAATTTGAAGAACTATTTTAATCCCATAGTGATGCATGGTGGGGGGTTTTTGCCAATGCATGCAATTTAATTATTATTTATTATTTATGATTTATCCCACTAACACAAAATACAATAGTAACTTAAAGATAGATTTGTTTGAATCTTTATAAGCCATGTACTATCTTCTCCAGGATATCTCAAATTATTTTTAGTTCTTTATGAACAAATATCAAAATATAAATTCACTGACTGTGTAGTGAAGGATGAGCAACTCAATATATGTATTTTTTTTTTTTCCAAGTAATGAATTTATTTTAGTAGCATATTTATAATAATGAAAATTATAATATTTTTTTCTAATTATGTTTGTTGAAATAAATGAGTAATGGATAATAAACATAAATTTTAATTGATTAATTCTTATATATGATAGTTGCAAAATGGTTTCTAATCATGTTAATTATGATTAGATTATTTGTCATAATAACATAATCTTAAAATCATAATATGAGATTGTGCTCAAATGTCTTATAGAATACAAATTAAAATATTGTTATAAAGCACAACACCTGTAATTTTTTCCACAAGCACTAAATTATATTGTTATTATTATTATTTTCTTTTGACAAAATATAGAATTATAATAAAATAAATATTATTAATATTTAAAGAGTAATAAAAGAAAAATTACCTGTGAAGCGCAAATATAAAAAAGAAATAATAGAAAAGGGAATTAAGGGGTGGTAAGTGGAAAGGCAAAAGGCAATGATTATGTGAATGGGATGGAGCCACTTGTTGAATATTTTTTTCTTTACCAGTCTTTCTTTCAGTTTTTTTGACTTGGGAGATGGGTCCCACCTCAGGCCACCACTGTCTTTAGATTGAATGATAAACAGCACGCACGTGGAGTCTGAATCAAGGGACTGTCCAACCACAATAATATAAATAAATAAACCCAGATTGTTATTTTTAATTTTTAGATTTTTTCAAATTACAAGCAGATCCCTACACATTTCAAACTATTGCTTTTAATCCACCCCTTATAATAATTCTCACTCTGTATTTGTTGCTTAAAGCTTATTGCTTTTCTTGCTTGTTCTTCTCT